CACATAAACAATGATAACACCATAATATATATAGCTGTTGTTGTTGTGTATAGTTTTTGCTAATACCTGACAATGTAACATAATATATGATATGCGTGCATAATATGTGTGGTAACATTTGGAAAACCTTTCCGGATGTTCTAAACAATTAATAATAATTAATTATTATGTATAACATAGGGAAATAACATAATCGATTTCAAATCACATAATTTATTTTAAATTACTAATTCCTATATTAAAATGGTTATTGGTTAGTCCTCCTTTCTAGTCTAGTTAACATCAATGACCTTGCAAATCAATTTTCAGTCAATACTTTTCATACCGAGACGGGAGATCTAATCGAGTATATAATTATATTTCCAACATTGATATAAAACCTAAAATCGATTCTCTACCGAAATCCCACCAGCTCTATTTTTTCTGATACTCTCAGTCATTATTCTCTGTGTTGTCATATGACACTGTGTGTATGAAGTTTATGTATTATAAAGGTCACAAGTCATAGACAAGAAAAAAACGTTTTCATCAAATATCCAATAATGATACTCTCTTCTATTAAAGACACCATAGAAAATTCGGTTAGGTGAGTAGTTTGTGGATATTGCTGTAAATTTATTGATAATAATAGTTTTTAAATTTGATAAGGTTTTTTTTTGCACTTGTTTTTACACAATAATAACAGTCACTGTAAATCACATCCAACGGATATAGTTTTTTCGAAACACATGAATCAATTTGTTCAAAATAAAATATACTTTCGAATATTTTCAAAAATCTTTAATTAAATTAAAGGCTCAAAGGTGCACTATTGGAAAATATAAATTATGAATGCCAAGTCTTAAAACTAAAATTGTAAATAGGTGGAGTGCAAAATATGTTCAATTTCGGGAGTAGTTATTTATGGTTACTTTTAATTTTTAGTTTATGCCTTATATTGTTTTTGACACGACCGATTCAATTAAATAATTTAATTTGGATAATAATATTATTGTAAACGTACATTTTATTTCTAAAATATATCGGATTATGATTATTGCAAAAAAAATGAATATACCTTTTAAGGGTAAAGTACTTAATAATTATTTTTGAATAGAATATTTTTTGTAAGATAATTTGCAGTGTCTGTGTTTTTATTCCGTTATATTCGACTACACAATATTAATCGATATCCAAACTGTTATACATAATTGTATATTATACTGGCATTTAGCTTAATCATTTATTTACTTTTAATCATATTTCTATTTTTTTTTCTTTACTGTCTACATCCATATACTTTTAAATATTTTATATGTAACCTGCACGTCATCATCTAACCACCACAAAAGCTTTTATAACCTAACCGATGGGGTTCATTATATTATGTAATATTCGTTTTATCTACTCTATGCTATTCGACACTAGCACGATATAGTTTGCTTTTCTTGCTTACGTCAAGAAATTCACTGCTACCCTCAGCTCCCAAACACACCCACTATTAGGTTTAACAAGTACATATTATAATAGTAAAAAAGCAATAGCCGTTTAGTTAACACGAAAATACATGTATCTTTCTACACTAACGACTTTGCTGTAATTGACTTACTTACAAACGTTTCGTCTAGTTTTTGATTCTTCATTATAATCATTTATTATTCTAGAACGCCCATTAATTCTACTCCTTATTTTTTATTTTGCTCGTTAACTCCACAATCATGTCGTTGGAAGCGAGTAATATCATACACAGGGTACATTGATTTCCTAAGAAAATTATTCGCAAATTAAGAATCAATCGTGTGTACATATAATATTATGTTTACTGTACACAACAAGTCCTTCGCACTCGTTTGCCTTATACTTTATACAGTACTGTCTATGATCTTTACTGTCAATATAAGTAGGTACTTATTTTTTTAGCAATATGCTCATTAAATAATAATAGTTATCATACTTTGACCAATTTTTATTTGTATAGAAACTTTGAAAAGTGTCTTTTGGTTTATAAATGTTTAATAAACCAATTAAAAATGAATGAGTCAGAGCAACGGATCAGTTTCCCCTCATTTAGTTAAATATTAACGGATTTTGGACGGTTGATCCCTACGAACATTTCAGAAATTCAGCATAAGTCATAATTATCAACCGTTATCTTTTCACAGAATCGTATTATTCTCAAAATTATCAAAACTAACCCATGTAAGAAATCTTTGTTTTTGTAAGATCGTTTTTTTCTAAGCCCTTGGTTACTTACGATTGAATAGAAACGAAATTAACCTGTAATTGTTTTATTGGTAAACATTAATTGTTTTAATAAAATAGGTTATTATTTATGTGTAAATTAACATGCAATTCGCATGCATCCGCCGCAAACTATTTGATTTGCCAGTCAAATATTACTCTTTCTCGAGGAGATAACTGTTTCTATAACTTGTTTGCTATAGTTTTAGCACAGGTTATAAGAAACATCTGCGCTTTTAAACATTTAATTGTTTCATTTAATCTATGGTTTTAGATTGTAGGAGTGAATTAAAAATGGTTATCTTATATGATGTCTTGATATTACACAACTTTCCCCTAGAAATTCCCGTTTAGATTGTTGGCAGATGTAAATAGAATCTAAAAATATATTTATTTGGATGTTTTAAATATCCACTGGAGTCTTTCAAAATATACTTGTATATTCATTTAGGATCTAAAAGTGAAGTGTATGCCAAATACATCTTAAAATGGGAAGTATATCAAGTCCTACTAGGAATGGACACTTCCCCAGGAAAGTTAATTTCATCAGACATTTCTTTTCCAGGTTAGAGAAAGTAGAATGTACCTTGATAAATTGTCCATCCCTAATCCTATCTTCCTATGGACATTCGACAAGTATGAGGTGGAGCTGTCCGTCCGTAAGACACCCGGGAACTAAATTGAAACCTACTTTTTTCCTGGTTTTTCCCAATTACTACCCTGTGATATTTAAGCAATGTCTACTTTATTTAAATTGTATTTTAGGTAATTATGTTAGCCAAAACTTATACAAAAGTAAGTATTTTTTTAGATTTAAACAGAAATATTTCTATTATTGTAGTTGAATATATGAGTGATTATTATTATGTTCCCTAAATTCTCAGGTGAATTAAAAACATATTTTAGATGTCTTGATGAAAAGTATACTGTTTAGAAACCATCAAAACAGAAGCACAGGATTCTTTAAAAAAATTAAGCTGGATAATGCTTTAATTTTATTATAACTTAAAAAATGTATTCCAAAATCATACACATTTATTTTTTGTAAATAACCGGAACATTACAATTTTGGTACATAAGGTAATATTTCTTGATGCATTTATCAATGCAACCTAATTGAAATATATAAGTATTTATTTTGTTGGAGAAAAATTCTATGAAAAAAAGTTTTCCTCTTCCTCGTCGATAAAAAGTTTTAAAAAAAATGTTATTTGTTCGTAAGGTCACATATATATTATATAACATGAAATAAATTCTTTATACACTTTATCAAAAATCAAACACAAAAAGTTTCGAAAACCATCGGTTTCTTTTCTTACTATAGACATTTATTAAAAGAAGGACCACCTACAATTATCAACTTTCATCCTTCATACTAAAAATATTCAATAATGTAATACAATAATAATGTACAATAAAGTAATACACCAAGTCAATCGCATAACCAAAAATGTATTTAAAACACATGTATAGCTATTATAATCTGTCCAGTTCATCTTGAGCCCGTTTGCCCATTACTCTTACATGAAAATATAATGGCTTAATATATTGTATAAGACGAGCTAAAAATCCGCAAATAGATAATTTTAAAAAAAATATGTGCAATATTTAAAACGTAGTTTGTTAAAACTATGTGTGAATAAGCAAAACAAAATTGTAATATTATGATTAAAATTACGACTATTTTTTAAAAAATACTACATTATTATATTTAAGGAAAAATTATAATTATAACCTTGAAACTTTTATGTCAATAAAAAAAAAAATTTAATTAAAATCCATGTGTCATCTGTACCGTGTCTCGTATTATGTATTTACAAATGACATTTCTGCAGGTAAGCAATTATTAACATATGCATATTAATAAAAACCATAGGTCGATAATGGAACGAAAGCTATATAACTATATTATAAGCCCACCTAAAAATAATTACAATATAAATCCTAATTGTGTGTGGTCTATTTCTCGTTCAGATTAGAGTTTCTATATATTATTTTGTAGCCTTGTGGCTTACTTAGGAGGTTTTAGTATAAGAAGAAACGGGGGAGGAGGGTGGTTGCAAAAAGGTGAAACCTGCCGGACAAAAAGAAGTAACTTCGAAGTCCAATCGGATTTTTATAATATAGATTATATTAAGAGCATAGTGCCTATTTTCCAGGTCGATTTCAATTTGGATTATTATTATATTAAGGTAAGATCTTTGAGGTATTAATTCGAAATAAGATATTCGAAATGCACCGAAGGTGATAAAAATGTACAACAGGAATCCCGTAGTTACCCGTTCATTGTACAAGATGGAATCGTTTTTCATACAACGCTTTTTTACATTTAATAAACGCGATTCGTAAAGTACTACATATAATATGAAAACCAATAAAGTTATTTATCAATTATCATTTAACAAGATAACAAGGTTAAAAGATGTGCTAAAACGATTATTATATATTTTTTTTTATTTATAGCTTTCATTCATACTACGGAACTAATTTTTAAAATGCCTACATCCGATAACGATTAGATGTTAATTAACAGGGTTGATGGCAAAGTCTTTTACGAGACTTTACGCAAGATAAATAATTATTTTATTATTGTACGCCACGGCGGAGTATTTTTAAATTGTACAACAAGCCATGCAAAAAACGTGAGTAGTACCTAGTGGTAACAATTGATTAGGTAACGATTATGATAAGTTGTGATATTTGTCTATTGTTACAACTAGGTATCACAAAATTAAAATTAAAATTGCCACTACTATTATTAGGTATTCTTTGAGGTTTACCTCTCAGCCGTCTCGACTGAAGCCGGTCATCTTGCCAAATTGCAAAGTTGTGTGATATCGCCCGGTACGGTGTAATGAACAGATCAATCAAGACATTTCTTTTTTTTTTTGCTTGGCTTCGACTACTGCACACTGTCAAGTGTGTACTATTGGCGCTATATTATGTTGGTCTGTTGGTGTAATTTTATTTTTTATAATGACTTTTCGCCAAAACTATCATATAAAAATAACGTTACGTTTACCACGGGTGTTTTGGGACAAAGCGACGGGCACAACGCATGACCGCCGAACAGAGCTACCACGATGGTATACCTTCGGGAGACGGTTTCTATAAAAACCGTTGGCTTTGCCTAAAAAACGCCGGGGGCGACTCCAGGCGGCGCCGCCGACCACCAATTCGTCACGCCAGGAGTCAACACCTAATACTATATTATTATAGAACACTATCGTGCACTCTTAGAAAGCATTTAGACCATTGTTTGGTAGTTAAAAGTTTTCGTTTTAGTTATTCTAACGTCTCGGCGCAGCAAGAAAAAATTGCCGCAGTGATCCGCGAGGGGTTGCCCTCTTGATTGCGTTTGCGGTGGAAAGCCTACGGCGAAATGTATTAAACGGTTCCTAATGCCATCCTATTACTCTTTTGTATAATATTAAGTGGTACTATATTAAATGCATTTAAACGTACATTCAGTTTGACGGTAAATATTTTCAAGACTATATTTTGATAACAGTATGACTGGAAAATATGTTTTTTTATTTTTGTTGATATTCTTGGGTAAACACCACCGGGACTTTTTTTTTATGGTGGCCAACACAGTCGATAGACTCGCCATCAAGACAAAAGCACCCAAAGAGTTTAATTAATATTGTCACATTTTAAATATCGAGTATAAGAAACATACATTGACACTCATTCTATGCAAAAAATGTTATTTGATTACAAACAATTAAAACTGTTATCAGTAGTGTAAACTAAAACAGTTTATGTAATGTTTAGAAAATACACATTTTGTACAATTATGTATATGTATTTAATATTACATAGATATTGTAATTAGTATTTGTATATTAATTTATGTACAACAAATATTTCACTGGTCGGCTTATAGCAATAACGAGTTAGGTAGTAGTATTTTAAAGGAAAGACGAGAAGTGCGGTGGGTAGTGCAAACAGAAAAAATATTTTGTTGTTCCTATACTCCCTTCCATTTACGTTTCTAAATACTTATAACTTAATTTTTAAGCCTGGTATCACTCATTAAAATTTTAATCTTAAATTGTTTATATTTTTGTAGTATTCGTTTTTATCTCTAAAATAGAAAATAGTTTAGATATCTAAGTTAAAGAAGTATGTAGTCACAAATTTTCCAAATGTACTTAAGATAGTAGTCTTTAAATTACAGAAAAAGATAAAAAAAATTCTATTTTTCCTAAAAGAGATGGCCCTTTTATGGGGTCCTTTTTTTTATTTATGATCAAACAATAAAACAATTAAATATAAACGTATTTGTTTGTAAACATATACATAGTAGTACATAATATTATGTGGATATTTAGGTGTTAGCGCTTACTTACAAGTAAAACTTTTATGACAGAAAGTGAAAATATCACACTATAAAGAACACTTCATTACTAAACTATCAATTTTAAAAATGTATGAAGCATAAAAAAATCACTATTTCCACAATTCGTTGGGAGACAAACGATAACCTGCAAGACAATAAGGTACACGGAGGAAAAAGGGTCAGTTAAATTTTCAGACATACAGGGTGATTATTTTATCAAGAACCACTCAATATCTCATAGGGTTTAATAAGAAATCAAAATATTTTTTTTCATATTGTTCTTATACAATGTGATCTCAATTTTTCCCATTTTTTTGTTTTTACCCTCTTTCCAACTTAGTTTTTTGATAGTAACTTTTGAAACTTAAACGGTAACGTATATATTTTATTAACATTTTTAATTGAGAATAATGTATTACAAATTTTGACTGGTCGATAATCAGTTTCGGAAAACTATTTTTAAAGTTATAAGAGTTTTAAAGTTATGATGGGAGGGGAAGTGCGGTTGGGAAATGCGTGCAGATAAAAATAATACTACACTCCACCTTTCCTCTTGCAATAAACTTGAAATTTCAATAACTTAAAAAATAGTTATCCGAAACTGGTTATCGACCAGTCAAAATTTTAAGTACATTGTTCTCAATTTAAAAAGTTAATAAAATATATACCTTACCATTTGAGTTTCGAGAAAAATTGTGAAAAATTGAGATCACATTGTATAAAAATAATATGAAAAAAAAATTGTAATTTCTTATTAAACCCGATAAAATTTTGAGTGGTTCATGATAAAGGAATCAACATGTATATTATGCTAGGTTCCACAATATTTTACTTGTTTTAATTTGTACATATATTTACTGTAGCACTATGGTTGGGAGCACCAGTTATTTTTGAAACCAATCAAGTTTGGAGAAATTTAGCATAAGAATTAAATTTTTTAAAAGAGACTTTTTTCCTACAATAAGTGTTTCAAAATAATCCACTTCTATTGGGGTAAAGATTGATGTTATTTTAAAATGTATTACTGTAAATAAGTAGATCCTTGTATGTTTATACTCTAAGAAATAATTATTTTATCCAAAAAAGCTTCAAGTGAAATTATTATATAAATTAACAACAACAGTTTTAGTGCTTATGTCAAAAAATTAAACAAGTACAGGGTCCGGCAAAAAAACCTCCCTTATTTAGAAATGGCACTGTGTGAGTTGTGGTGGTGGTACAACGGTGGAGGGGGTATCGATCGATAGCTGTATACATGCCATTTTCTTCTGACCTAACCTAAACCAATTGCTAGGAATCATGATGAGGGAGAAGTCTGGTTCCAACAAGACGGTGCCACAGGTTACACTTCGCGGCGCTCCCTAGCAATCTTGAGAGAGGTGTTTCCTGGATGTCTTCTCTCTGTGCGAGGAGACCTAACCACCAAGGTCACTTGATTTATCCCCTTGTGGTTTGGGGACTTAAGAAGGCAATCAAACAAGCAGTGTCTGCCATTACACCGGAAATGACACGAAGAGCTATGGCCATTCTCGAAAGTTAAAAGTGTAACCTGTGGCACCGTCTTGTTGGAACCAGACTTCTCCCTTATCATGGTTCCTAGTAAACTGGTTTAGGCAAGGTCAGAAGAAAATGGCATGTATACAGCTATCGATCGATACCCCCTCCACTGTTGTACCACCATCACAACTCATACAGTGCCATTTCGAAATGAGGGAGGTTTTTTTGCCGGACCCTGTATAATACAGGTTAGTTCAAGAATATACCTCTTAAAAGTCAAATAACAACTAAAATATATAATTTACCTATAGTTTTTATTATTATATTTTTGTATGTCTTAAAATTTATATCAAAATGAATGTATTTTGTTTGTAGTAAAGGTAGCTAAAATTTAATTATTTCGCAAGTTAGTGAATACCTAATCGTTATGGCAAAATGCCGTCTGACAACTAATAAAACAACAATACATATTTTACGGGGACAAAAAATACATAATAGCATCTTTTAAAGCTATATAAGGCCACCGGAAATAATATCTGTATTGTTGCGTTGACTTTCCAACTGATTCCTGAATCTATTACTTAATTTTGCTTAATTTTACAGTTTTACATGTTCTGTTTATTAAATTATATGTAACCCTAGTCTAATGTATTTAACATTATTATGTGTTTGGTTATTTAAGAGTAACCTTCATCTTTATGTCTCTCAAGACTCTGGACTGCAAGGCTAAGTAACTCTACTTTGAATGGTATTATCATTGACAACCTATAATATTTTCTTAAACAATTAAAAAATTATTCTAAGAGATTTTTCCATGAGAATAGTATATTATTGTCTATTTAATTTTTTGTCTAGTCTATGTTAGGTATAAGCCCATATTGTAACAGTGGGTAAAATTGTTTTAAGTCGGCGAAAGCCAGCTGAATTTCAAAAACCCTGTTTTAAAACTAAATCCTGAAGCGGTGTTATAAAATAAATAGAGGGACTCTGAAGTACCGTGACCAGCGACGTCCCACAGGAGTTGATATTCACCACCGCGCCGAAACCCCGTTATGGTGACCTTTCAGGAAGCTTCTATAAAGGTACTAGTGATCCGCTTCGATGACATTAAATTACCACAGCACTCGATAATAACGAAAAACCACACTATTAATACAATAATAATAAATGCCTTGGATTTGTCTGGCCAAGGATAGGTTATATCTAGTTTTTATTTTTGTTTTATACAAAAATTAACCTTAACTAATAAATATTTACCGTAGTTTTAAATACATCATTTACAACGGCAAATCTATAACAATAATGAAATTTTCACAATTTTCTGTACTAATAGCATAGTAATGATATACTCAGCTATTCAAGTTGTATTAAATCATAAATTGAAATTTTATTGAAAATCCCTATTTATCTGACAGTTATGAAAAATCATGCTGGGGATATATTACCCTTTGCTCTTGAGAACATAGTAAGGAAGTCCATAAATCAATTCAGTAGTTTTTTGTATTTGTGCAAAATTACAACAAACTCTCTCAATTCATTAGTATAAATTATAGTAGATAACCCTTTACGACAGATATAGCCTGCCATATTCAACAAACAACTTAAGGCTTAAAAACCAATCACCACAATTAAAAAAAGTTAAACAGCGATTCGATTAAAATATTTAACATTCTTTTATAAAAAAAGATTTTGTATTATCACATGTTTGTGTCAATTTTTATTGTTTAATATTATATTATTCTACCTACTCAAAATAAATATCGAAATATGGAATAATATTAAAGGACCGGAACGGTATATGTGAGCTCAAAAGTAAAAAAAGTACACCTTGTCGCAATATTCAAATTTTGAGTATTTTGAGAAAAAACGCTTTAAACTTTTGAAATGTTGCCAACTTTTTATTTTACACACTTAAGGAATGAAACTTAAACATAATTTAGATAACACAATTTTTTTTTTCCTTAAATTTGATTCCAACTCTGATCGAAGTTTTGGCCTCTCCTACGATTTGGATTTTCGCGACAAGAGGTCCATTTTTCCTTTCCTCCTGACATAATTTATTTTACCTATTGGGACCGAAAAAAAAATACTGAATATCTGAATAAAAAATACCGAGAAGATTGGACCACGTTTTAGTCGGGTAGGTTAAGATGGGTCTGGCCGGATAATTGGCGCGACGCGATTACTAAGCGATCAGCA